GAAAACGTGACTGGAAATTTGTATCCATACATACATACGCACACACACACATCCATTTTTTCTGAGGTATGCCAAAACGTTCAGAAACCTTCAAAACGTCGAGAAATGTAAAAATTTTCAATTCCGATTTTCGGCCCATTACAATAACTTACCCTACGGAAAGTTAAAAAATGAAAATTTACGTTTCAGAGGTTTCTGAATATTTTGTCATACCTTAGAAAAATATGATGTATGTGTGTGTGTGTGTGTATGTGTGTGCGCGGATACAAATTTTCGTCGACGATTTCGGGAACACCGATCAACCGATTTGAATAATTAAAAGAACATTCGATTCGTATTGATAAGGAGACGTGCTGATTAGTTTTTGGCGAAGACAGGTCTAGCCGTTTCGGAGATACGGGGCAAAAAGTGCTAAAAACGGTAACTCAGTTTTTAAGAGAACGGAGCTTCCGATTTTAATAATTCAAAAATCATTTTACTTGTATTGACAAGATGAAGAACTGATTAAATTTTTGGGAAGGCAGGTCTAGCGGTTATCGACTCTCGATACAAATAAATTAAAAAAATGTCATTTGGCGGTCAAAAATATTTATTGGACATATGTACATTAAATTATCAGATATTTTATAGAGATTTCAATAATGTGTACACATTTTGTGTGATTTTTTTGGGTTCCGTATCAAGATTTTTTATTACGGTACGGGAAGTTCCAGCAATTTGCCATAAGGCACGATGCCATACACCACTAGTTTCAATTATTTTTAATGATTTGTTTGTTAGTTGAATACGCCATGTAATATACTAATATTCGAGAAGAGAAACAATTATTCAACTACTTAACCGTTCAATTAGCACATGTTTTCGATACGGTTTAAGTTTATAAATAATCGAAAATAATAACTACTTTACAAGGTTATCGATCAGTTGAAGAAATATGAAACAATCGATTAAGGTAACTAACACCATATAGAAAAAGTGTACAAATCTTGGCCTCTTTGAATCGATTTTGAAAATTCAAAAACTAATTGAAAAATATCATTTGGGAGTTTTTAACAAAGATCTGCCAGGTCATTCTTCGTAATTGATTTAATAAAATTATATAGAATACTTGGTCTTAATGAACATACTGAAAAATTATAGTCCTATGAAAATTGGTTCAATAATAAAAATTAATTAAAATTTGGATTAGACGGCTTTTAGAAGATACTCCGTGTATGGTGTTGGTCATTGTATAATTTAAAAAAATTGTACAAAATTGAATAATCACACATTATAATGATCTACAAGTAAATATACTTATAAAGCAGACTATTTATAATGATTTATTTGAATGGATTTCATATTCCTCGAATATTTCAGACCACAAAGACTTCAAATCAATACAAAACTGATTCAAACAATTCATCGTCATTTTAATTGAATCATTAGATAAATTTTAGTTATTTGTAAGGACAAACATTACAAATAAATCAGCTGCTCGTAGCCTCAATAATATATTATAAAATCATAGGCTTATTTTGTATAAAATCCTTGTTTATTTACATATTCCCAATATTATTTTCAGTCCACGTACATGAAAATTTCTCAAAAACATGTAAATAAACAAAATCACACAAAAATAACCTCTCAATCAATTTGACACATCTAGAGAAACATCAAAATATCATCCACGTCCAACACTGACATGTAATTTTATAACCGAATATAAATCGCAATTTCAGGATTTTATACAAATATTTTATCGTGGTACAATATGAATGAATATATATTTAAATAATTATTAATAAAATATAATTCACTCACCTCTGACGGTGACATCGTCGCCATTCTTTAACTGAGTGCGACCTTCGAGAAATTGACATAAGGCGATGTGGATAGCATTTTTAATGGAAAATTGTTGGTTAAATTCGATTCTATTAAGTAAATATGGATTTGGCAAGATTTTTTGGTAGTATTTTTATCAGAGGTTTATATGATTTGTAAAAATTTATAGAAAACAAAATGTAAATTAAGTGCGATGGTTACCTTTGTTATATGGAATCAGACCATAGGATTTATAGGTTAGGTTTTTACAACTTGATGAAATAATTAAGGTATTTTATTATAAAAACATGTAGTCACACACAAATTTCATTAAGTTCTAGTTAAATTGAGAATTTATAGGATTAAATTGAAATTCTACTGAAGATACTGCAAATTGTAGGAGAGGGCAACAAAAAATCAAAAAGGCATAATATTGATTTTGGAATACATTTTGGATAGATTTTTGAAATAATTAGTGTATTTTACTATATAAGTATGTATAAACTCAACAAAGGTTACTTAAGTTATATGAATTTGGATGATCGGATTCTATTCATTATAATAAAGAGTAGTCTGCTCGAATTGCTTTTCTATCCTTTGTTTATTATTTTTATTACCTTTATTCACTTCTATTTAAATGCTGCCCATTTAGAAACCTTTAATTTTCATTAAGAATCTTACCATTTGCACACTCACGTTTAGACAATAAATTTTTCAAAACACCTTGTATATAATTTAAATTATAATTATAATTTAATAAATAATAAGTACTAAAGTTTTATCAACATGTACATTTCCTTTTTTAAATATTTATATTAACTTTCCGTAGGGTAAGTGTTAAATATAAATATTTTTATTAACTTGATCAAGTTCTAGTTAAATTGAGCATTTATAGGATTAAATTGAAATTCTACTGAAGAAAATGTAGAGAGGGCAACAAAAAACCAAAAAGGCATAATATTGATTTTGGAATACCTTTTGGATATATTCTTGAAATAATTAGTGTATTTTACTATATAAATATGTATAAACTCAAACAGGGCTAGTATAAACTCAACAAATGTTGCTTAACTTATAAGGAAGCGGATGATCAGACGGTATTCATAATAATAAAGAGTATTGCCCAAAGGCAAGTGTGAGAACAGCACAAACCGATGATTTCCTTCCTTTTGGTTAGATTCTTGAAATAATTAATGTATTTTACTATGTAAGTATGTATAAACACAAACAAGGCTAGTATAAACTCAAGAAAGGTTACTTAAGGTATATGGAATTGGATGATCGGATTCTATTCATTATAATAAAGAGTAGTCTGCCCGAAGGCAAGTCCATGGTGTAAGAGCACCACAAATCGATGATTTGCTTTCTATCCCTTGTAGCAGAGGTTAACAAAAAATCAAAAAGGCATAATATTGATTTTGGAATACCTTTTGGTTAGATTCTTGAAATTATTAGTGTATTTTACTATATAATTATGTATAAACTCAAACAGGGCTAGTATAAACTCAACAAAGGTTACTTAAGGTATATGGAATTGGATGATCAGATGCTATTCATAATAATAAAGAGTACATTCAGCGAGCTTATCTCATTATTAATTTTATTAACGGTACGAAATGACATTATTTGGGTTTTATCATTATTGAGTAAAAGATTATTGGATTTAAACCAATTGGAAATTGAAGCCATTACTAAATTTAATTTGTTACTTATTCCTTCCAAAGAATTTCCCTTAACAATAATACTAGTGTCATCAGCAAAAAGAATAAATTTACAAAGATCTGAACAATTTGGAAGATCATTTATATATATAAGAAATAATAAAGGTCCAAGTATTGAACCTTGAGGGACACCGAGTTTGATATTTAATTTGTCTGATATTATTACCGAACCATCATCATCGCTCAAGTAATAATAAAGAAGGCAAGTCCATAGTGTAATTGTACCACAAATCGATGATTTTTTTCTTCCCTTGTAGCAGAGGGCAACAAAAAAGCAAAAAGGCATAATATTGATATTTTACTATGTAAGTATGTATAAACACAAACAAGGCTAGTATAAACTCAACAAATGTCACTTAAGGTATATGGAATCGGATGATCAGATTTCATTCATAATAATAAAGAGTACTGCCCGAAGGCTAGTGTAAACTCAACAAATGTTACTTAAGTAATATGGAATCGGATGATCGGATTCTATTCATAATAATGAAGAGTACTGCCTGAGGGCTAGTATAAACTCAACAAATGTTACTTAAGTTATATGGTTTGAATGATCAGGTTCTATTCATATGAACTGAATTGCAAATTTGTAATGTAAGTTGTAATAAAGAGTACTGCCCGAAGGCAAGTCCATGGTGTAAGAGTACCATAAGATGATTTCCTTTCTCTCCCTTGTTTATTATTTTCATTACCTTTATTAACTTTTATTTAAATGCTGCCCATTTAGAAACCTTTAATTTTCATTAAGATTCTTACCATTTGCACACTCACGTTTAGACAATAAATTTTTGGAAATACTTGTATATAAATTAAATTATAATTATAATTTAAAAAGTCTAATAAATAATACATATACGTTTTCTTTTATAAATATTTATATTAACTTTCCATAGGGTAAGTTATAGTAGTTGTCAAAAATTGAAAATGAAAATTCTCTGAAACCGATTTGAATGATTCAAAAAGCATTCGATTTCTATTGTTAGAGAGAGATGTGTTTACGATAGTTTTGGCAAAGGTAGGTTAGTCATTTCAAAGATATAATGTAAACACTCAAACTTGATCAAGTGTGGTTAAATTGAGCGTTTATATGATTAAATTGAAATTCTACTGAAGAAAATACAGGTTATAAAATCAAAAAGGGATAATATTGATTTTGGAATACCTTTTGGATAGATTCTTGAAATAATTAGTGTTTTACTGTATAAGTAAAAATGTCATTTGGCGGTCAAAAATGTTTATTGGACATATGTACATCCAATTATCAGATAATTACACATTTTGTGTAATTTTTTTTGGGTCCCGTACCAAGATTTTTAATTACGGTACGGGAAGTTCCAGCAATTTGCCTTAAGGCACGATGCTATGCATCCCACTAGTTACTATTTGCATAGTGTTATGCTCTAAACAATCCTTATAAAACACAATTCTAAATAGAGATTTCTAAATTTACATCCATTATTACAATTTGCTGTTTCCGGCCAACATATCCCTGACCAATTTCACCGCATGTTTTGCACTACCTGGTGCTGTAGTTACCCCATAACCACCGTGTCCATAAATTATGGACTATTTTAACACTCTCGGTGCCCCTTCTCAGTACTTCGCCTTCGATTCTTACTGGATCTCTGTGTGGTCTCAAACCGACCAACTCATTTACGACTTTAGCAGTCTTCAAACTAGGTACTAGAGATTCGCATCGTTCTTTAATTGCTGCCCTATCGTATTTACAAATTTCGGTGTTGTAACTGTCGTATTGTCTTACGCCTCCTAAGGTGACTGTCTCAAATCCTGGGATAACGTAGGTATCGTAGTCACCGTAGAAAGCTGTTTTTATCCATGGGGCTTTGACCTGGGTAAGGGAAATAGAATTAATAACTTCCCATGGGGTAAGTTATAGTAATCACAAAATTTTGATATCTTTACGTTTCAAAGGTCTCTGAACATTTTGACATACCTTCGAAAAAATTGATGTGTGTGTGTGCGGATACAAATTTTCGTCGACGATTCGGGAATGCCGATTAACCGATTTGAATAATTAAAAACATTCAATTCGTTTTGATAAGGAGACGTGCTGATTTAGTTTTTGGCGAAGGCAGGTCTAGCCGTTCCGAAGATATGGAGCAAAAAGCTTAAAAAAATGCTTTTTGGTGGTCGAACATCAAATATTTTTTGTAATTTAAATCAACCGATATGATTGGGTATCAAAAACTTTGAAAAAATTTCAAAATTAAAAATTTTTGTTTTCAAAAAGTTACAAGATTTAAAAAAAATTCAGAATTTTCTATAATATTTCGAAATCAATATTTAAATTTTTCAAATATTTTCAAAATTTTCCAAAAAAATTCAAAATTTTCAAAATTTGCCTTAAGATAGATGCTATGCACTACTAGTTTTATATTCAAGTCATTCTGAATCGCTTGACACAAAAATTTGAACTAGTTATAAGTGCCTTCTGAAAAATTAGATAAATATAATAATTAATTATAATTTTTAACTATTTTATAAACGTTTATATTATGATTTCTCGGCGATTTAAGTCATTCTGAATCTTGTACAGGTCTTTCCTATGTAAAACACTCTCGAAGCGAAAGACATAAAAAAATATATTTGAGTATATTTTCATCAAACATTTTATTCTTACCTTTATAACTTGTCCTCGAATTGGTACCAATTTATTATCATTGCACAAAATTTTTGCCTGGAGCCCAGTGCAATTAACAACGATATCATACTTTTCAGGCAAATCAGCAAAATTGTTTATTGTATATTCTGTAATGTGACCGCCGTTTGATAAAAATCTAAAAAGTAAATTCATATTTTAATTATTAATTTATATCAGTTAATATCTAATGCAAAGATATATTTGTAAAATACCAATGAAGGTAAATTAATATTTTATTATAATTATACTTTTGTTTAGCCCATGGTAAATATAATCTGCATTCTGTTAACAGTGTGGTAAAAAATGATCCATATTTCCAATTTCCTGGACATAGCTGAAGCTCATCTTCAGTCGCTGCTCGATATATTGGTACCAATTTTTCAATATAGGAATTCTGAAAATAATATTATGTTTATTCTTAAAGTATCTGTGTGCCTAATAAAAAAAATATTTACATATATTCTTCGAATGCCCATAGTACCGACAGGTATAGCATTGCAATTTAAAACATTGCCGGATGAAAAATGAATCGATTACTGAAATTGTCACAAAATAGGTAGGAGGGTGAAAATTTAGGGCTGCGTTATAAAAGAGTTAAACTAGTGGTGTATGACATCGCGTTTTAAGGAAAATTGCTGGAACTTCCCGTATCGTAATTTAAAATTTTGAAAAGTTTAGAAGAAAAATTATATTTTTCAAGATTTGAGTTTTTTTTTTGAACATTTTTGAAAATTTTGAAAACGTTTGAAAAAATTGAATGAGTGCCTTTTTAGAAAACGCTGATAATTTTTGGAAACTGTTTTTTTTATTTTTTTAACCTTTTTGAAAGTTTCTGATACTTATTCATATCGGTTTATCTATAATGTCTTAAATATCTGATTTTCGACCGGTAAATGGCATTTTTTTAACATTTTTTTCTTGATCTCCGAAACCGCTGGACCTGCTTTTGCAAAACTTTAAACAATTCTCCATTACGTCTATACAAGTGGAATGTTTTTTGAATCATACAAATCGGGTGATCCGTTCTCGCAAAAACTTAATTTCCATTTTGAGCACTCTTTGCTCCATAACTCCGAAACGGCTAGATGCCTTTGCATAAAACTAATCAGCACGTCTCCTTATTAATAAAAATCGAATGCGTTTTGAATAATTCAAACCGGTTGAGCGGTGCTCTCAAAAACGTTGATGAAAAATTATATCCACATACACACATTCATACATACACACACATGATTTTTTTAAAGGTATGCCAAAATGTTCAGAAACCTCTGAAAAGTAACGGTATTCAAAAAAAATTATTTTGTAATCGAACTCTCAGCACTTAGTATGAAAGAAAGTGTGAAAAATAGATTTTAGCTGATTTACTGAATGTGTATATAAAATTACATTATATTACAATCGGTCTAAACGTTCCAGAGGAGCATGAATACTAACGTTACATATTTGTTTATATATATATATTTATTTTAATTATCTACCCTCGTAATGTGTGCACTTTTACTTGAAAATATATAAACAGACAACTGAGTCACTCCTGCCTCTGCTGCTTCTGAAGTCTTTCTTATACTGTCCCAATAGTAATAGGAATCATTTATAATTTGTCTACAAAACATAAAAATAATTATACAAAAACCTTGTAATTTTTACAATTATCCTTTTACCTTGTTATTTCATCGGTGGGACCACAAAAACTTGTACCAGGTCTGAACAAACCAGCAGCAACATAACTGGTTGTCTGATTTTCGAATTTATTTGACAATATGTGAATGTCTGCTCCACGATAAGTTGATTGCAATTCTAATGCTGTTGTTAAACCGATAACACCGGCTCCGACAACACAGATTTTCATCCTGATCAATTTAATAAAACTTAAACCAAAAAACACAATTTTTATTATTATATCACAATTATTTACATAGTTCTAGACAAGCAATGCTAAATGTTAAATATTATTGATTTGTGTGATAAGTTATCTGTGTGAATGAAATTATCTCTGACACAGTTCAAGGATCAATCTTGAATTCAAATTTTAACTGATTTTTATATCTGAAAAGAATTTACTAGGTAATAGGAAACTAATTTTCTTTTTGGAAATTAAAACTATAAATAATTTTGTTATCACAAAGTTTATTCATGTAAATTATGTAAACCTTATATTAAAATTATATTCTTCTTTTTAATAAAAGGTTATTTACGAATTATTAACTAAGGCTTTTATGATTGCATTTTTAAATTTTTATGTATTTAAAAAGTTAAGGTTTGAAAAAAGTTGAATATCAAAGCTCAAATTATGACTTATTAGAATTTATTTTAACTAATATATTTTAAAATAATTAAATATAATATTAATAAATAAATATTTTGTAAAGCACTGGTATTTATTGATTAATTAAAAAATGTTCATATTTACATTCCTAAGGGCTACATTAATTAATTTAGTATAAAGTTAATTTTGATATTTTTTTTCAATTTCATAGAAAGATTTAATTTATGAAATTTATTTTTATGATATGAATTTACTACTCTTAATATTTTTCATCTCATTTATTTTTCTTCTTATCTTTTACAGTATATTTATCATAAGTTTTAGTAGGATCGTACGGTTCCCATCTGCTCGCTGGAAATATATGTTTATTTCTTTCATACCAACTCCTAAGCAAAACTTTGCCCGCATGTGATTCTTCTTTCTCAATAGAAGCATCACTTATCATTCTAATATCATCTTTAACATCGAACTGAAATAAAGGACCACTCTTCCCTCTGGCCTTTGTTACTATAAAATCATAAAATGTGTAATGATGCGGCAGTATCAAGTCTTCTTTAACATACATTAACTGATCTGCCATGATAGTTTTGAGCTCGCTGAATTCTGGTCTAAGTTTTTCTAGACATCTTTGTAAAAATTGGTAAATTGAATTTCCTTTTTTCATAATCACATTTCGACGATGTCCTGAACCATCCCAATAACTGAATGTTATGTCAATTTCCTGGTCTTTTAATAGGGCTTGTGCTAATTTTTTTTCTCTTTCTCTAACAATGTCTTCTTGTTTGGCTTTCATTTCATCCAATGTAACAAGACCGATTGTGGAGCTTTTGAGCTGTTGTTCAACAGCATCGTAATGTGTTGCAAATTTCTTTTCGATATTATATACTTTTAATTCTTCCTCTATTTTCTTTTTCCTGTACTCTATTTCTTGTTGAGCGAGCTCTCTCTTCTTCATTAATTGCATAGCTCTGCCAGCCTCGCTGGCTGCTCCTTTGTAATGGGCCATCGTGGAGAAAATGTAATAAAATCTTAAATAATAAAGAGCTGTTGTCTTAAATTAGTAAAAGAAGATTTATGTAATTGAAATTGATATGATGTTTACTTTGTACACAATAGTTATGAAAAAAAATTTTTTTTCAACAAATATCAAACGATTAAGACTTACAAATATAAATTAACTAGTTGTTAATCACAAATAATTAAATTTTGAATTAGATTTTGATCTTGAGTGGTTTTTTACACTATGTATATTATTTACAACAATAATAATAACCAAACTTTCTGACAGTCAGACATTTATTACCAGATGAGAATTTCAGAGTAATAAGACAAATCGCGTTACCCACGTTTTTGAAACCACTGAGACTGTTTTAACGGTTTCGACATTTAAAAATCTCAAAAATATTTATATAACATAGCAAACATATTTTTTCTAAACGTTTTCTCAAAAATGGGATATTGATCAATTATTAAATAAGATTGATCTTGGAATATAATCATTAAATTTAATTAACATTAGCTGTGCTAATTATTAGAATCTTCAAAATATTTGAACAAAACAATTGTCACTTCTCAAGGATTTTCTACAATTAAATAAAAGTAGCTTATATGTTTAAATGTATTATTTCATAAGTGTGTAATAGTTTAATAAAACATTCTTGTTTTATAATAAATGTGTGTATTTTTGTTGAATTCTTCGTAGCTATTCTTTACAAAAGTCAAAAAGTATTAGATCCGTTACTCTTAAATATAAAGCTAAAATTAATGTTAAGAAATGATCTTTATCTGACACTAATGATGCAATTTAAACCCCCAAAAGAAACTTATAATTTCACTAGGTCAGACAAAAACTTGCTATCAGAATTTAGACCATAGTATTCCAAAGATATATTTAAATTGTTTATGAAGAAAATACTATGCCAATTTATTGCTCAAAACAGGATAGAACTCATACTCATGTCACCAGAGAAATTGTATTTAGAGAAACAAAGTTATAAGGAAATAATTAAATTAAAATCTACAGCAACAACTATTAAGAAAAATGGTAAATTAAAAGAGACATTAAAAACATATATTAGCTGCAAAATCGATGAATGAGTTAGAACCTTTATATGCACCTTTTAAAGTAAGTAAACACTCCCTTGCCGAAAAAGCTAATTCTAGGATCTTTAGGACTTGAAAGTACAGCTTTACAAATTCTTGATGGCAATAGAGTGGTTAATTCTGCTCATTGTGTTGTAAGAGGTTTAGGTTCTCTTATAGAAGCTTTATTAGGCATTCAGCATATTATTGCAGATGTTATAAGCAAAGATAAGGACTATTAGAAAACAGAGATATTTAACAGAGGCATTAAAACAATCTCAAAATTGAATTCCCTGTTTTCATAACATTTTGACAATGGCTCGAACCATCCCATTAACTGGATGTTACGTCAATTTCTTGGTTTCTAAACAGGGCCTGCTGTTCTGGCAACTTTATCATGGTTTTTTGCGTAATCTGATTTCTTCCTCTTCATGTTTACTGTCTGGCAAAAATGATATGTCCAAAGAATCTTTTCTTAGGTATCACATTGCTTTCATCTGTTTATCTTCCTTCCATGATAGTTCCACTTTCTACTTCTCCTCATTATTACCATTAACATCTTACCCTTTTTGATCCATGTTGCGAGATTAAGCTTGGAATTGATTTTCTTGGGCTGTGTTTCTTCCAAAATCCCTAATTTTGGCCTGTCTTTCTCTGCATGTCTTTGTGATCATTTTTTTCTCTTTATTCAACAAGAGGCCAGCCGAAGCAGTCCAGCCTCGGCCGACCAGCCATTATGCAAGTTTTTAATCACTTATAATATTTATTTCTATCCTGAACGCTTTACTTATAAATATAAGTACGAATAAAAGTAATAACCAATTATAACCTAACTATTTGACATCCAAACAAGTATTACCTGATGAGAATAAAAGCCTAATAAGAAACGAACCACTTTTTAACATTGTATTGCCAGAGGAGCAAATTTCTGAAACTTCAAACCACTTCACTTCACGTCACTTTTCATTTGTCAACGATTTCCTACGATTGCATTTAGGAAATACAAAATAGAAAAAGACTTTGTTGTAAGTTGTAATTTGAACATTTTATAAGTGTGTAATGTAGTTTAACGAATGGTAGTTTCCTTTTGATACTTGGATTTATTTTGTTTATAAATCTTTATTACAAATGTCAAAAAGCGTTAGATCCGTTATCATTAAAACTGAAAGCGATGTATCACCGCCGAAAAGAAAAGCAAGAACAACTAAAAAAGATGTTAAGAAACGTTCTTCATCTGTCGAATCTGACACCAATGATACTGGAGTTAAGGCTGGTCCTTCTGCAGAAAACGATGTTTCCAAACCTCCACAAGAAACCTATCAATCCACATGGTCCGACGAAAGATTGCTATCTGAATTGGAAGATATAGATTACAATATTTCAAGAAATATAATTAAATTGTTCGTGGACGAAAACACTATACCATTTATAGCTCGATACAGGAAGGAGCTCACAGGTTCTATGTCACCCGAGAAATTACGTTCAGTTAAACAAAGTTATGAGGACATAATTAAAATAAAATCCAAAGCCTCTAGCATGGTAACTACTATTAAGAAACAGGGCAAATTAACAGAGTCTTTGAAACGATGCATATTATCTGCCAAATCGATGAACGAATTAGAACATATATATGCACCTTTTAAAGTGAGTAAACACTCCCTTGCCGAAAAAGCTAGATCTTTAGGACTTGAAAGTACGGCTATACAAATTCTTGAAGGCAAAGGAGTGGTTGATCCTGCTCGCTGTGTGTCAGAAGGTAAAAAAGGTTTAAGTTCTATTCTAGATATTTTGTTAGGAATTCAGCATATAATTGCAGATATTATAAGCAAAGATAGGGATCTGTTAGACGAGTTACAAAAAATATATAAAAATGATAGAATGTTTATTGAAAGTTCATTAGCAAAACAACCTAAGAAGGATACCAAACAATCATCTAGTCATGCCAAAAATAAATCAGTTAAAAATGTCGACCAAGAGAAGTTTAAATTATATTTTGATTTCAAATGCAGAACTAGTACCATTCAGCCTTATCAGATATTAGCAATAAATCGTGGGGAATCTCTTAAAGTTCTAAGTGTTAAGATAGTGATTCCTGATGCTGCAAAACATACAATACAAAGATTTTGTGAATCCAAATGGCTTCGAAAAGGGACTAACTATCCAACTCGAGATAAATTATTTAAAGATTCATTCCAGGATGCTTATAAAAGACTAATATCTCCTTTAATAACTCGTGAAATTAGAAATAGTTTGAATAAAAAAGCTGAAGACGCTTCAATCCAAGTTTTTAGTAGTAATTTAAAACATTTATTAATGACACAACCTGTGAAAGGTTGCAAAATATTGGGTATTGATCCTGGTTTTTCAAATGGTTGCAAAATGGCTTTGATATCAGAGCTAGGAAAAGTATTAGACACCGCTGTGATATATCCACATTCTGGAAAAACTGCACTCGCTGAAGCTACTGTTGCTAATCTTATGAATAAATATAATTGTTCACTCATTGCTTTAGGAAATGGTACCGCTTGCAGAGAAACCGAGCAGTTTTTGGGTAAGTTGATTAACTCTGGACAGTTACCAAGAGGCACTAGATACAGTATAATAAATGAGAGAGGTGCTTCAATATATTCTTGTAGCGATGAAGCAATTAAAGAGTTTCCAAAACTTGATACAAATCTTCGCAGTGCTGTTTATATAGCTCGTTGTCTACAAGACCCTTTATGTGAAATGGTTAAAATCGATCCTAAACATCTGGGAGTAGGAATGTACCAGCACGATGTTTCTCAGAAGCTTCTTGCATCATCATTACATGAAGTTGTTATAGAATGTGTGAGTTTCGTAGGCGTTGATATAAATACTGTTTCTCACACCTTGTTGAAACAAGTGGCAGGCATAGGTAATTCTAAGGCTGAAAAAATAATTAAATTTCGTGATAGAAATGGACCATTTCGATCAAGAGATGGTGTGAGAGATGTGGCTGGTATCGGGCCTAAAAGTTATATACAATTTATAGGATTTATAAGAGTCGTCAGTGATACTAGTGGCTGTGAAACAAATCCCTTGGATAGAACTTGGATTCATCCAGAAAGCTATCATATAGCTGAAATAATTGCAGAAAGAGCTAAATTATCATTAAAAGACATTGGAAAACAAACATTTATAGAAAACCTGAAAAGCTATGCAAAAGTCTTCTCTGCTTCCAAATTGGCTGCAGAACTCGTGGTTCCAGAAGCCCAAGTCAATTGGGTAATTGAAAGTTTATCAAGAGACCCCAATAAAGATTATAGATGTGACAGCAAGAGTAATGAACCTTTGTTCAGAAAAAATGTTACAAGCCTGGACGATCTTAAAATAGGAGAGACTTTAACAGGAATTGTTGAAAATGTTACTGATTTTGGGGCTTTTGTGGACATTGGTGTGGGGACTGCGGGACTTATACATGTTAGTAATTTGAGAAAACATCCTAACCCTATTGAACTAGGATACCGAGTTGAAGTTAAGATTGTGAATCTTGAAATTGAAAGAAAACGAATCGGTTTAGACTTGTTACAAGTATTATGAGTTATATTGATAAATATTTTTATACAGAAAAAATAGTTTTGTTATTTCTATTTTGTAATATTACTGCAAATAAAACAATGGTAAATAAATTTTGATAATTTGTTGATATTGAAAACATTACAGTACAATTGAATATTTTAATTCAATTCAGTTGTTGGTAATTTGCTCTTATGCTTGTTTCTTCACAAAGAAAATTATAGGTGACTGACTAAGCAAAAGATTAAACGGCATTTAGCCTTCAGGCAAGTTGCATGAACTTGATGAATTAACTTCATGTAAGGTACCTTTACGTTTCAAAAGTTTCTAGTAAAAATTGTTGTATGTTAGTGTGTGTGTACGCTGTGCGGATACAAATTTTCGTCGACGATTTTGGGAACACCGATCAACCATTTGAATAGTTCAAAAAACATTCGATTCGTATTGATAATGAGACGTGCTGATTAGTTTTGGCAAAGGCAGGTCTAGCCGTTTCGAAGGTACGGGGCAAAAAGTGCCCCAAAAACGGTAATTCAGTTT